CGAGGTTCAAAATTTAAAATAAAATTCTGCCAGCTGTTTGATCCAACATTCGGTGGTCATTTTGGCAACCCAACCGCCGCGCCCCTCGGCCGCCCCTCGGCCGCCCCTCGGCCATACTCCGCGGTCCCTGTTTCTTCTTATCAATTAATGTTTTAATTATTGTTCAGGAGCCCATTACTAGGAGCCTTCCTCTTCTTCATAAGCTCTTGGAACGGCATTTACCCCTCTTGGTGCTATTTTTAGAATTGCTCATTATAAATTCAGCGCAAAAAAGCCAATCAGAAAGCGACTTGAACAATAGGTTTCTGAATGACCGACGGCCGCCGGTCGACCGCCGGCGAGGAAGATCTTAGTACTAGACTATTTCAAAATTCATTTTCAGGATGTTTAAAGTTAACTTTTAGTAGAAATATGTCCCAAAAAAGGAAAGCAGAATCACCTTTCGCTTCATATTTAGCCGATGAGGAAGCCAGTGATAGAAAACAGGTGTAATTACTCTTGGGAATACAGGGGAAAATCTGGAGAAAAAACAACAACTTATGAACTTTTCAATTCTAATTCATTGAGCAGCCGAAGACCAACAAAATTCATTGGACAGCAAGAGCAACAAAACTCGACTCAAATCACACTCTGGATCTTTAACTGATAACCAGCATTTGAAATCAAATGGCTGTTGAAGACGAGGAACGAAAAAAAGCGGAAAATTTTCAACTTGAGCAAACTTGAGCAAGCTGAACATGACTGAAGCAAGTAAGCTTGCAAATTTTTACATGCAAATGGACATTGAATGGAACTCTTTTTGGGTTGACTAATTTATATGACCATAAAACAACAACATTTTAGAGGACTGTTTATCGGCTGTTCAAGAAAAAAGGCGCCGAAATTCCGTAAAGCTTAAGGTAAGCTTAACTTCATTTGTGAAAAGTTTTTGTTTAGATGCAAAATATTGTACAAAACTGTCACAAACAAATTTATTAAACTTAAATGCTAATTTTTAAATTTGTGATGTCACATTTTTTAGATGAAGAACTCATTATAAGAATAGATTATTTTGTGTTCACTGTCATGCTTTTTGATCAGATTCGTCGGTAAAAGAAACCAGAAATGTCGATTCTTTCATCTATGAGCTTTTTCGCTAATTTTTTATACCTTTTCACTATCTTTAGACATTTTAAATATAATAGTTAATGGTGTCATTGAACCTTTGTTACAAAATAGTTTTTGTAAAAGCGAAAATTTCTTCACTTGTACAACTTAAAATTCAATCTAAAAACACCTGATAGCGGGGGCCGGCGGCTCTTCACAACTCGGCATCTCAATAAGCGCGCGGGGAATGGCGAGAAAATCTAAAAATAGCACCAAGAGGGATAAATGCCGTTCCACAAGCCCATGGGAAGAGGAAGGCTCCTAGTAATGGGCTCCTGTTATTGTTTTAATTTTTAATTATTGTTTTAATTATTGTTTTAATTATTTTATCTGTTCCCGGCACCGCAACACCTCAGTGCCCTTTTTATTTAGTAGTTTGTGCTCAAAATCGAGATCAATTAACTGTGAACTTGTATATTTATCATACAGASAGATTTTACCTGYGCTACKTGTTCTACGTGTCAAYCGGGWRTACCCGGCSWACATGGCAAWCCCGGTGCCCCAGGRCGTGATGGTCGCGATGGACGTGACGGTACCCAAGGAAAACCMGGCCCCCAAGGACCACAAGGACAACAAGGAGTCCCCGGACCTCAAGGTAGCGTCGGACAAACAGGTGCTCGTGGACCTGAAGGACCTAAAGGAGAACGCGGACCAGTAGGACCGTCGTCTCATTCCAACTGGAAGGAATGTGTTTGGAAAAACATCAACGATGGGAGAGACAACGGACTTATTAGAGTTTGTATTATTTTTGTTGTTTTTAATTGCTTACTAATAATGATAATAATAATAATAAAAAAAAAAATTAAATAAAAATACAGTTTATTCAAAATACAAAATATCAAGATTGATCCCATAGTACCAAAGAGAGTGTATCGGCAAATTGGCCACCAAATATATAAGGTTTGATTTGGTAAGCTTATTCTCTCTCTGATTCAAGCGTTTTCCTCCTTTTCGAAGATCAATAATTAACTGACTGTGCGKAGTGCGCTGCCGTGTATTAACTAACGGTCCAAATATCGAGTAGGCGTGAGAGTATCAAAGATTATCAATATCGGAGACATCTTCGAGGATTGAAAAGATCTCTCACTTGAAAATAACAAGTTTACGAGAGTGAGATATTTCATTATTGTTATATGACAAAGCTATTTTCACTCGTTTGACTTTCAGGATTGCGTTTTCTACAAGAAACACACCGATACCGTCCTT